GTATATTTGAAAGCCTTCTGTAGTTCCACCACACCTTTAGGATACCTCTTCATAAAATGAACATCTTGCTGATTTTCTCGGGTTTTCGGGCCTTTGCGTGGCCTTCCTTTTTTTGTAAATCCAACATACCAGCCAGTGTATTTAGCAGACATCAAGGCTGTGTAGTAGTTATTTTCTAACACTTTTTCAATGAAGACACACTCCTTGCTAGATCCATCGGGCTAAAAATTAACAAAAAAAAAAAATCATCAACAACAAAACTGCGGTGCACAATTACTTTACATATTTAAAAAGAACCTCTAACAACAGAAATATGAAATTTGTGCTAGATATGTTTCAAGTTCAGTGTCTGTCATGGTGATACTGACTTTACCATCCTGTGGACCACTGACCTGGAAAAAGAAGGCAAGAGAGGTGAGACTTTTATTACTTCAATGGCTGTTTAATTTCCCTAGGTAAATGGTTCACTAGGCAATGCAGTTCAAGGTGACCAAGGTGAACACTGGAGACTATACCTTTAAAATACTTTTCACCAAATTTCAGTCCACACAGGTTCACATTAATGATGTATAAAATTCTTTGTCAACAGTTTAAAATTTAATTCAGAAGGTTAGAGACTCTGAGATCCACCCAACTTACTTTCTGTTTTGAATAGCCATGAATCTGAACTGCCCTGCCGCAATCTAGGTGAATGCTATTAAAACGGTAATAAACCACATTAAAAAAAAAAAAAAGTAGCCCCTCGACAGGCTCATTTTAAAACATACTGCAGTTAGTATGTGGTGCATACTATCACATTATGACAACTTACCTAAAAAAATGGATCCCTCCAGTGGCGTGCTGTCACCGCTGAGAGGGATTCCATCTTCACCCGGTCTTCTTTCCAGGTTTGTGGGCGTCAGCCATTTGAATGGTTCTTTGTCATGACTGTGGTACACCTTTCTGGCATGCCGTCCATTGAGAGTGCAGTGTGCATATTTCAGTGACGTCACCAGCTGCTACACATGTAAATATCTCCTAAATGGTGAACGTTTTGTAGATATTCGCTGTACCAACAGGTAAGTCTTATTATAGGCTTACCTGTAGGTACAAGATAAAAAGCAGAGTTTTCTACTGCTTTAAATTGTCTATTGTGAATGTTAGTGACTCACAACCTGAGCAGCGGGTGGAGCTCTAGGCACCTTCCTATCAGATTATTATAGAGAGGAAAGCTCTGTTTAAGTGAAGCCTATTTATCAAGCTCAATATCTCAAGCTTAACACACATCTCACTAAATCAGAAGAATTAATTTTACCCCCTTTACCCTTCTGGCTCTGTTTATAAGGGACTGCGTGATGGTTAGAGAGAGACAATTTGGAAGCAACTAGTTTCTGCAGCACTCCCTGAAAAACTCATAAAGTTCCGTGACACTAGTGTCATAAGTGCACCGTTTTAAATGTTTGTTTAAAAATCAAATATCAAAATAACAAAAGTCATCCCAAACCAGGCGTAGGAGACCTTTTGAATGTATTATGCCGAAAAATGTTTGTAAGAAAATGAGAGTGCCAGAAATATAAAACAAAATGTCTAAGTAATAATCTCAATCAAGAAACGATTATTAATGAATGGTACTTAATAAATTATTCAGTGCCATAAGACTATCAATTTGTGAAATTGCAAATGCTGTCTAAGCCTCGGTTCACATATATGCGGTCGTGCGGGCCGAGTTTTGCACGGGCACGAGAGCCCATTCATTTGAATGGACTCCTGTGCCCCCGGACACGCAGGAAAGAAGTCCCTGCACTTCTTTGGAAACCACAGCCCGCACAGGAACCTCGGTTCCCAGTACGGTTGCGTTTTCCTGCGCAGGCGGTGTGCCATTAGAATTAATGGCACCCGCACGCAGGACCGCATTCTTCTGTGCGGGTGGTGTGGCTGTACAGATTTTTGTGTGGATCTGCAGCAGCACCACCCGCACATATGTGAACCTAGCGTTAGAAAGTATGTTAAAAAAAACACTCCCAATTTAAATAATTAGAATGGGACAGCACACACAGAAATAAAAACCAATAAAAATGCAAACAAATAAAAATAGTGTGAATATGTGCACTAATCCTTATGTGTCACAATGTGCTTTCTTTTACCGTATGTACAGTATATCACCATATTTATGCGATCCTATAAACGCATATTGGCAAAAAAATTAATCACATAAAAGATACATTAAAATCGGAAATAAAGTGACAAATAATATATATTCCAATATAAAGTGCAGAAATGTCTAAATTCACAAATATTAAAGTGCCACGTGCTTTAAATTCAAAGTGCAATAATAAAAGTGCTCCATTCTAAAGCAGTGTCCATGTCTTCAATGATCACCATTCTTACAAAGAAGTGCACTTCCAGTGGCTGCCACCCAACCACGCTGGCAACTCACTTGAAAGATCATCCTCATCAGCCTTATGCAATGCCTGGATCCACAGTGGTATACACTGCTTCAATCCATATCTTAAAGCGATACTGAAGGTTTGCTTTTTTTTTTCTGGAAAATAACAAACATGTTATACTTAGCTGCTCCATGCAGTGGTTTTTCACAGTGCAGCCTGGATCCTCTTCTTCTCCAGTCCCCTGCAAGCTCTTCTGGCTACTCATTTCTGTTGTGTGCCCCCATAGCAAGCAGCTTGCTATGGGGGCACCCGAGCAGGCGTGTTTCCAAGCCGCTGCTCTGTGTGTCTATTCACACATGGATCCGTGGCTTGGCCCCACCCCCTCACTCTCCTCATTGGCTGACTAGCTGTGATTGACAGCAGCAGGAGCCAATAGCTCTTGCTTGCTGTCTCAGCCAATGAGGAGGCAGAGACCCGGAACAGACAAAGCTGTTATGCACATCGATGGATCGCGAAGGGGCTCAGGTAAGTATTGAGGGGGCTTGGGGTACTGCTGCACACAGACTTTTTTTACCTTCATGCACAGAATTCATGAAGGTAAAAACCATGAACCTTTACAACCACTTTAAATCATCCTTCATTTGTTCCCTCATCATTCATATAACCTCCATCATGGAGAGACCTAGAAATGTAAGAGAAGCTTCTATCATGTAAAACTTATTTTTATGGAAAATATTAAAAAGACGTGCACTTAGACGGCATATAGAGTACTATAGTACCTCTTTAAAGGCTAAGTTCACCTTTGTAAAAAAAAAAAAAAAAAATTATAAATGCACGCACAAGTTAAAAAATGTACATGTATTATTTTTTTTCACTAGGAGCCTGCAAAGCATTGCACCTGTGATGGGTGAAATGCGAAGCTCCTACAGACTGTCAGTGTAAGCTGTCTGCTCATACCTCATATGGGCAGGCAATTACACGTTGACAGGAAGCATCAATGAACTACCTAGCATGCTTATCACGCCCAGATAGTTAATTGAGAGCTACAAGCTAACAGCCATAAAGGCTTTCACTACTTGTTATTCTCCCATTCACAGAACTCTGTGAATGAATGATGCGGCCAGGCGGGTAGAGCCCCACACAGTCGCTTTTTTAAAAATTCTGACAGTGGATGCGGGGAGAGGATCCCCAGCTCATTGTCACAACGGGGGATCAGGGGGGTGCGGGGGCAGCTTCAACAGTAACATGTTACACGCTAAATACAGGTGTAATATGTTATAAAAGATGAACTTATCCTTTAAAACAAAGCTGGCTCCAGCTGCAAACACAGGCTGCGGGCTCAGCTAATATCACGTCCAAATGGCCCATCTTGCGTGTTTCGTCTCTCTGACATCTTCAGGAAGAGGACAGGACGCTGTACATCTGTACAGGATATTTATTCAGTCCCAAGAAACTTTGCTATTGTGACTAACCCACGCCTGTCTGGAGCTGGCACCTTTTTTACTTACATGCTTGTTTATCTTTGACGTTTGCAAGTGGAATTTTAATTTATTTTAATAAATTATTTGTACGGTATTACACTATCTGGAGTATTATCCTTTTGACCAAGTATACAGCGGATCATTAAAAGGGAGACAGAGAAGAGTAGAGACATTGAAGTTTTTGATACCCTTTCCCATCAAGAATGTACTAAACAAGATATGTCCAGCATCATGCTCTGTTAAACCACCTATAATCTGGGATCTAATTATCCGGTAAGAGGCAGTGTGTTTTATGGTGGTGGGCACAAGAGTCTCTATACCATTACACACTTGGAGAATTATTGTGGACACGGTTGTTCATTTCATATGAATTTTTGTCATTAAGAGACGTTTTCACTGTTTGGTGACTTGTGCACTTTAATTTAAACATTGTTTGCGGTGCACTTGAAATAATAGTTTATTAATTTATTCATCATTAGCGTGACAATTAGAGATGAGCGAATTATTCAAAAATTCGGTTCGGCTGATTCGCCGAATTCGCCGATTAAATTCACTTTGTGCCGAATATATTCGCCGGCTAATCTGGGTCTAGGTTGTTGATCGGTATTTGTGCTCCCGGATTCCTGCTGTTGGTCTAGTCTTCCTTTCCTTTTCTTACTCTTCTTTCCATTTTGTCTTTGTATGATTTTTGCGTGGCGGTAGAGACCTGTCTCTGGTTTGCTTCACTGTTGGAGTTCTAACATTATATTTTTTTTAATATATGCATTTTCTGTGCCATTGATAGCCCCTGTGCGGGCATGCCTCCTCCATTGCTGGTTTTGTAACATTGTTCCTTTTATACCTTATGTGCCATTGATAGCCCCTGCGTGGGCAAGCCTTTTGCTTCAGTCGTTCTTTGCTTAAAACTTTTAAAATTAATAAAAAACCATTGACATACACAAACATGACAAAACAAAAACAAAAAAAAAATCACCTCACTCCACAGATCTCATACTAATCCCCTTAGATTGGGGGTTATGGTTAGAGATGAGCGAAGTATTCAAAAATTTGATTCGGCTGATTCAGCGAATTCGAGGAATAAATTCGATTCGATGCAAATATATTCGCTGCGATTTTAACTTATAAAAGGGTGTTTCTAGGCTTCAGAGAGCCTTTATATTAGTGCAGAACACTGTACCTTTAATTTAAATGCCCTTGGAGTCTGCTGGGGAAGAGAAATAATACTGTCAGTCAGTATGACATGCAGATGAGTGCCGTCGATCTTAGAATCACCGCACACTTCACTCATTTGGGCAGTCACGGGGCCAAAACCAGAGTGTGGAGCCACAGTGTGGCGGTGGAGGCAGCAGCAATGGGAGGCCATACAGCACCCTATTACAAAATGGAACCCACCAGCAGTGTGAGGAGACCTGAAAGTGGCACATGGCAGAGTGTGGCGATGGAGACAGCAGCAATGGGAGGCCGTACAGGGACCCATGACACACTCTGGACCTGGCAGCAGCATGAGGAGGCGGTACAGGGGCCCATGACAGATTACGGGCCTGGCAGCAGCATGAGGAGGCGGTACAGGGGCCCATGGCAGAGTGGCGGAGCGTAAGCAGCTAAAATTGAAGGCCATACAGAGGCCTATGTTAAAAAGTCCCCCCAGCAGCAGCGTGGGGAGACGACTATCAAGAGTCCAATGGCAGAATGGCGGAGCAGAAGCAGCTTCAATTGAAGGCCATACACAGGCCTAGGTTAAAAAGCGGAAGCCGTCAGCAGCGTGAGCAGACGACAGAGACACATGGCACAGGGTGGCGGTGGATGCAGCAGTATTCGGAAGCCAAACACAGGCCTCGGTTAAAAAGCGGAAGCCGTCAGCAGCGTGAGCAGACGACAGAGGCACATGGCGCAGGGTGGCGGTGGAGGCAGCAGCAATGGAAGGCCATACAGCACCCTATCACAAAATGGAACCCACCAACAGTGTAAGGAGACCTGAAAGTGGCACATGGCGCAGGGTGGCGGTGGAGGCAGCAGTATTCGGAAGACATACACAGGACTAGTTTAAAAAGCGGAAGCCGTCAGCAGCGTGAGCAGACGACAGAGGCACATGGCGCAGGGTGGCGGTGGAGGCAGCAGTATTCGGAAGCCATACACAGGCCTAGGTTAAAAAGTGGAAGCCGTCAGCAGCGTGAGCAGACGACAGAGACACATGGCGCAGGGTGGCGGTGGATGCAGCAGTATTCGGAAGCCAAACACAGGCCTCGGTTAAAAAGCGGAAGCCGTCAGCAGTGTGAGCAGACGACAGAGGCACATGGCGCAGGGTGGCGGTGGAGGCAGCAGCAATGGAAGGCCATACAGCACCCTATCACAAAATGGAACCCACCAACAGTGTAAGGAGACCTGAAAGTGGCACATGGCGCAGGGTGGCGGTGGAGGCAGCAGTATTCGGAAGACATACACAGGACTAGTTTAAAAAGCGGAAGCCGTCAGCAGCGTGAGCAGACGACAGAGGCACATGGCGCAGGGTGGCGGTGGAGGCAGCAGTATTCAGAAGCCATACACAGGCCTAGGTTAAAAAGCGGAAGCCGTCAGCAGCGTGAGCAGACGACAGAGACACATGGCGCAGGGTGGCGGTGGATGCAGCAGTATTCGGAAGCCAAACGCAGGCCTCGGTTAAAAAGCGGAAGCCGTCAGCAGCGTGAGCAGACGACAGAGACACATGGCGCAGGGTGGCGGTGGATGCAGCAGTATTCGGAAGCCAAACACAGGCCTCGGTTAAAAAGCGGAAGCCGTCAGCAGCGTGAGCAGACGACAGAGACACATGGCGCAGGGTGGCGGTGGATGCAGCAGTATTCGGAAGCCAAACACAGGCCTCGGTTACAAAGCGGAAGCCGTCAGCAGCGTGAGCAGACGACAGAGGCACATGGCGCAGGGTGGCGGTGGAGGCAGCAGCAATGGAAGGCCATACAGCACCCTATCACAAAATGGAACCCACCAACAGTGTAAGGAGACCTGAAAGTGGCACATGGTGCAGGGTGGCGGTGGAGGCAGCAGTATTCGGAAGACATACACAGGACTAGTTTAAAAAGCGGAAGCCGTCAGCAGCGTGAGCAGACGACAGAGGCACATGGCGCAGGGTGGCGGTGGAGGCAGCAGTATTCGGAAGCCATACACAGGCCTAGGTTAAAAAGCGGAAGCCGTCAGCAGCGTGAGCAGACGACAGAGGCACATGGCGCAGGGTGGCGGTGGAGGCAGCAGTATTCGGAAGCCATACACAGGCCTAGGTTTAAAACTGGAACCCAGCAGCGTGAGCAGACGACAAAGACGCACATGGCAGAGGATGGATCTGGCAGCAGTATGAGAAGGCGGTACAGGGGCCCGTGGCACAGTGTGGTGATGGGGGCTACAGCAACTGGATGCCAGAAAGTGGCCGATAGGGCTATATACTGCATGACTACATAGGTGGTTTATATAGTACTTTATTTTGGCCTCCCTCTCAGCAGGTGTGAAAAAGGCCACCATTTTTGAACGGTAGTGAGGGTCCAACAAGGTGGACAGCCAAAAGTCATCCCTCTGTCTGATGGTTATTATTCGGCTGTCGCTACGCAAGCAACCGAGCATGCTATGGGCCATTTGTGCCAAGGAATGCGAGGGACTCCCTGCCTCCATCTCCACAGCATACTGCCACGGTGCGTCTGGGTCCTCTGTCTCCTCCTCCTCCTCTACCAGATGCTCCTGCTCCTCCACTCCTGTCCGCCTGAGTGGCAAAACCACCCATTTCACTCAATAATTCCTGAGCACCAATGTCCTCCTCTACCTCCTCCTTTTCTTCCTGTCCTGCCCCCACAGGGGTCATGTGGCGTTGAGATCTGTGCGCCACGTCTACCGCACCCTGACCAGCCATTGTTAACAGCATTTGTTCCAGGACGTGCAACAGAGGAATGACGTCGTTCATCCCATAGTCCTGCCGACTCACGAATAGCGTGGCCTCCTCAAAGGGCCTGAGCAAGTGGCAGGTGTCACGCATGAGCTGCCAATGGCTGACATCTAAGTTACACAGGGGAGTACCTTTATCCGCTTGTAACATCAGGAAATCGGTGATGGCCTTTCGCTGTTCGTAAAGGCGGTCTAACATATGTAGGGTTGAATTCCACCTTGTTGCAACGTCGCAGATCAGGCGATGCTGTGGAATTCCGTTCTGCCGCTGCAGCTCAAGGAGGGTGTGCTTTGCGGTGTAGGAATGGCTGAAATGCATGCAAAGTTTACGTGACATTTTAAGGATGTCTTGCAGTGGGATGGTGGATTTTAGGAACCGCTTGACAACCAGATTGAACACGTGAGCCATGCATGGCGCATGGCACAACCTTCCTTGACGCAGAGCAGACACCATGTTCTTTCCGTTGTCGGTCAACATGGTTCCGATTTTCAGTTTGCGCGGAGACAGCCATCTGTCGATTTCTCTGTTCATTACACTCAGAAGTTCCTCCCCTGTGTGACTACGTTCGCCAAGGCATACCAGGTGCAGCACAGCGTGACACCGTTGCGCCCTGCACATGTGATATGCCGGTCGGGTAATGGGACTTGGCACGGGGGTGGCGGCTGAGGACACGGCGGAAGAAGAGGTGGTAGAGGCGGACATCTTTGCTGGACCAAGGACGTGCAAACGTGGAGGCAAAAGCGGCGTGACCTGTCCAAGTTGCTGGTGCGGCTGTGCGGCTGTGAACGTACAATAGTGGTTGTGAAGCAGAAAGTCAGTTTATTTAGCACAATCGGTCAATTGCAGCTTGCCCTTGGCTGGAAACTGTACGTTTATGTCACTGGAATGCACTAATCACACAAAAAATATTACCGCCACCTGGCGTGTAAATGGATCTAACTCTTTGAACGTACAATAGTGGTTGTGAAGCAGAAAGTCAGTTTATTTAGCACAATCGGTCAATTGCAGCTTGCCGTTGGCTGGAAACTGTACGTTTATGTCACTGGAATGCACTAATCACCCAAAAAATATTACCGCCACCCGGCGTGTATATGGATTTAACTCTTTGAACGTACAATAGTGGTTGTGAAGCAGAAAGTCAGTTTATTTAGCACAATCGGTCAATTGCAGCTTGCCGTTGGCTGGAAACTGTACGTTTATGTCACTGGAATGCACTAATCACCCAAAAAATATTACCGCCACCCGGCGTGTAAATGGATCTAACTCTTTGAACGTACACTAGTGGTTGTGAAGCAGAAAGTCAGTTTATTGTACACAATCGGTCAATTGCAGCTTGCCGTTGGCTGGAAACTGTACGTTTGTGTCACTGGAATGCACTAATCACCCAAAAAATATTACCGCCAGCCGGCGTGTAAATGGATTTAACTCTTTGAACGTACAATAGTGGTTGTGAAGCAGAAAGTCAGTTTATTTTGCACAATCGACAAACTGCAGCACCAACTGTGCACGACAGCCACCAGAAAAAAAAAAGGGTGTATGTCACTTTAAATTTTCGATTCTTTGATAGCTGTGGCCCTGAGTAACGATTCTGTGTCCCTGAGTAACGATTCTGTGTCCCTGAGTAACAATTCTGTGTCCCTGAGTAACAATTCTGTGTCCCTGAGTAACAATTCTGTGGCCCTAAAGTCTCTGTGGCCCTAACTCTGTCCCTTAATACAGACAGGTCTGTCTCTCTTGAATGACCGGAGGCTAATGGAGAATTCTAAGATGGCCGCGATTTATAGCTCCACCATTACACAGTGCTGGCTGGCTGCTGATTGGCTAATGCGATCACATGTCATGATTCATGACTCATGAATGCATTATGGGTCAGCGCGCCTTGTCTGCGTGCCTTCCCAGAGATCCCCCGCCCCATCTTCTCTGTCCATTTTCTCCTGTCGCCACACATGTCGCCGCCATTTTTGGGAAAATTCAATTCGTGCATCCGAAGTTTGCTAATCTTCGGATTCGTCGCGAATCTAATTTTTCCAAATCTTCGGAACGAATTCCACTTCGTCATGTTCGATTCGCTCATCTCTAGTGACAATAATTGGATATTCACACAATGAGTATTTGTATTTTATATATTTTTTAAGTACAGCTATTGTTTCACTATTTGTATTATTTTATGGTTTATTATTTGTTTGGAGTTTTTTAATTATTTTTTGGCACTGAGAGCACCTTCAAATTATGAATAAAAATTGTCCAAACTCACAATATAAAAAGCATTTTTTTGACAAATAACAAGAAATACTAATCAAATTAATAAAATAATGTCCTTGGATAAAAGGGATATGCACCAAATTAAAGCGATACTCCAGACCACATATTAAAAAGAATCCTACAGAAATAATTACTATGCATCAACCTATAAACATTATAACTAGGTGTATCTCATGCAGCAAATTAAATATATTCATAAGCCAATGTATCAGAAAAAACAGTAAATAAAATAAAACCAATTTTTTTCTCCTTTGTCAGATAACTGCCCCCTAACAACTTTTAGCAAAATAGGAAAACAAAGAAACAAAATTGGAGGAGGAATAATTTTAGCTTGGCATGTACAAGTAGAAATGATGAGATAAATGATTTTATTTAATGTGATACCTTCCATGTAATATAGAGTTGGAGTGCCCTTGTGGGCTACAATACATAGGGAGGACTACAAGTAAATTAAAAACAATAATAGCCAAGCATATTAACAAAATACAGAGTGGCTTCAAAAAATGTATCAGAAGAAAAAATAAAACCTAAAATTTGTCAAATAGCAATTGAGAGCTATTTCTATATTTAATCTACCTGGCTGCAATGTTTCAAGCTCATATATCTATTTAGTCTCTTTTTAGATATCTCTTTTGTCAGATCACTCCCTGTCCAATGACGTTTAGCATGATTGATCCCGTAAAATATCAGACCATTAGGAACTTTCCTAGGCTTCGCCCAAAAATGCCTAGAAACATTGGGGTAGATATTACATGGAAGGTATGTGTCACTGCAGCTGTTTTCACCGGCCATTCTTGCGCCCCAGCACCATCATTCCTAGTAAGGGCACCCAGCTGTGACAGCTTGCGGCTTCACAGCCCAGAAGATTATGGAGAGGGAGGAAGGACAACTTCCACTTCCGATCGCCTAGGTCAGTGATGGCGAACCTTTTTGAGCCCGAGTGCCCAAACTGCAACCCAAAACCAACTTATTTCTTTCAAAGTGCCAACACTGCAATGAAACCTGAATATCGAGCTTTTGGTTTAGAAAAAACAACTCGTACAGTAGTGCAAACTAATTAACAGTACAGGGATGACCAGAGACTGCGGACAGTACAGGGATGACCAGAGACTGCGGACACAGTACAGGGATGACCAGAGACTGCGGACACAATACAGGGATGACCAGAGACTGCAGACACAGTACAGGGATGACCAGAGACTGCAGACACAGTACAGGGATGACCAGAGACTGCGGACACAGTACAGGGATGACCAGAGACTGCGGACAGTACAGGGATGACTGAGACTGCAGACACAGTACAGGGATGACCAGAGACTGCAGACACAGTACAGGGATGACCAGAAACTGCGGACACAGTACAGGGATGACCAGAGACTGCGGACAGTACAGGGATGACCAGAGACTGCGGACACAGTACAGGGATGACCAGAGACTGCGGACACAGTACAGGGGATGACCAGAGACTGCGGACACAGTACAGGGATGACCAGAGACTGCGGACAGTACAGAGATGACCAGAGACTGCGGACAGTACAGGGATGACCAGAGACTGCGGACACAGTACAGGGGATGACCAGAGACTGCGGACACAGTACAGGGATGACCAGAGACTGCAGACAGTACAGGGATGACCAGAGACTGCGGGACAGTACAGGGATGACCAGAGACTGCGGACACAGTACAGGGGATGACCAGAGACTGCGGACAGCACAGGGATGACCAGAGACTGCGGACAGTACAGGAGATGACCAGAGACTGCGGAAAGCACAGGGATGACCAGAGACTGTGGACAGCACAAGGATGACCAGAGACTGCAGACAGCACAGGGATGACCAGAGACTGCGGACAGTACAGATGACTGCTGACCTTTGGGGAGGGAGGGGGAGCGGGTACCTGAATTTGACAGGTACCTGCTCTTACTTCCGCAGAGTTTTTTTTTTAATCTTACCTGTTCCTTTATCCAGCCGCGCGCTGTCTTCCCGGCTTCTGTAGTGTGGGCGCTCGTCGGACAGCCGGATGCCCAGTGCGCATGCGCGAGAAGCACTGCGCTTTGTGATTGGTCCGGCGGCTTCTGGGATCTGTCATGTGTCCCAGGTACCGCCTTACCATTCACAAAGAGCACTGCTTCTTGCGCATGCGCACTTGGGACCCGGCTGTCACGCACACTACAGAAGCCGGGA